GCGTCTATCGTTAATTATCATTGTTGTCGGATACCTATCGACGGAAGACAAAGAAGCAGGTGCAGACAGGGCGCTATCCGTCTCGCTGTTTATCGTGGCGAGCGGCGCGGACGTTGACTGACCGGTCGGTACGTCTTCTATCTCTTCGGGCCAACCAAAGGCATCCTTTGTTTTGCCATATCTGAAGAATATGATGACGTGTCATCGGTCGAAATAAAAAAAAGGGGGGGGGAGAGAGAGAGAGAGAGAGAGCGACTGGAAAAGAATCGTATGCTAGCTGAAGAGGAGAAGAGAAATCACGATTCTTCTTTCCACGTACATTTTAATGCAATCCACCATAATGACACCCTCGGGATCTTGAGACGGTCCGAACGTGACGGTCAATTTCTTGTCAGCTTGAAGACTCTCCTCCCGAGTCAAAGGTATGTCGAACCAACGACTTCTACTCACAGTTGTTCGAACACTTCTGCCAAATACCTGCGAGAGCAAAGGAAACAAAAAGGTATATCTACAGCGTCTACAGAGTTAGAAATAATACGAGTACACGGATACTATAATATATTTAGAAATAGACGAAACAACCAGATCCAACCTCGATATAAACCGGCGCTCTTTGAACGTCCTGATTGCCGAGCAACACTCGAATCCCCGTTATGACCAAAACGGCGTCGTTGTTGGTAACGTCGACGGTGAATCCCATGGCTTTCGTAGAAACAACGTACATTCCAGTGGTGTTGAGCCGGTGCTTGATCTGGGCAACGTTGTATATTTGCAGCAAGTCGTTGCCGCCGAATTCCACGTCGTTCATCACTTGACAATGCTCGAAGAAATCAATGGGGAAGGTAACGGATCCCGTTGGTTTGCCCGCCTTGACGGTTTTCTTCTTTCGCGCCGGTTTCATCGTGGCCATCGTGCCCACCGGCTGAACCGTAGGAGACATCCAGTATCCAGTTTGCTCCATCCCGGCCATGTAAATTCTCAGACTTCCATCCTCGCACAGCAAGATCAGGGTGGTTCGATGCTCGGCGTTCGAACTCGGATGCCTTATTACCACCATGTCCATTATCTTGGCCTTGGCAGGCATAGCTTTGATCTCTTGAATCATTATCGCGTCAGGCTTGATCATCAGTATCACCGGATTGTTGCTCGTCTCCAAGATGGAACAGATCAGTCCAGGGTGATTGG